TGTGATCTATACATCCACGTTCGGTAAGATAGAATACCCAATTATAATTGAATTTTCCTGAAGATTTGAAACAACACTCGTATAACACACCCGTTTTCTTATTTTATAAAGGTACATCAGTCCATTAATGTTAATTGTGATCTATACATCCACGTTCGGTAAGATAGAATACCCAATTATAATTGAATTTTCCTGAAGATTTGAAACAACACTCGTATAACATACCTGTTTTCTTATTTTATAAAGGTACATCAGTCCATTAATGTTAATTGTGATCTATACATCCACGTTCGGGTAGACACAGTATATTTAGTAAGATGAAAGTTAAATGGGAACAGAAAAGGCGTGATCTACAGGAAAACACTCTCCGCCGCTGGTTTTAGGAGAAATATAGACAACAAATAACTTGTTTATTTTTCTTATAAGCTTACACATATAATGATTACAAAATAATAATTTGGTATCGTTATTAACATTTTATACAATCCGTGATTCTGTAACTTCCTTTTGGCCACGGCTAAAAGTTGACGCGTTAATCTCGATAAAGGTTAAATAATTTTAGGAGCATTTGGTGATATTTGCTTAGAAAGATAAATCAGATCCGTTTGTGTTGGCTAAGAGTTTCTATCTTTAACACGGGCTTATGACGTTAAAAATCAAGGTTTTATACCCGTCGTTGGCACAAAACAACAGCCCCATTGTGTATTTTTGTGTTTAACAACAAACACTTAAAACAGGCGTACTTTTCTAATGAGAATAAGTTGTTCATGATAGGTTTGTATTTTTCAACCATGTGCGTGAAAATTTGAAGAAACATTATTAATATTCATTTCATATTGAAGACCATTAGAACATTTTATCAATACAACCTATGGTGACATTAAAAATATCGTATTTTACAGACTAATTAATACCCGAAACAATAATTTACCATGAGCATGGAGATACGAGAAATAAGAGCATCAGGAATATGGCATCTTTGTTGCCTGTCCTTCGTAGCTTGTATGTCTTTCTTGTCGTTTCCCTCATGTCTTAGATAAAGACCAGGATGTCACCGATGTGCTCAGTTTGTGTTGTTGGTTCAGAACATATATAGTTGTAAGTATTTTTTTTCTGGTCAGGTCGATGAGAGTCTGGAGAAAGATAGTAAGTTCACCGGGTTGTGAAATTGGAATACAAAGCTCTGGTTCGGTTCAGCGAGTACTTTTATGCATGGAGGTTGTACTGCGCAGTAGCGGCTCAAGTCCAAATGTATGTGGTAATATCGTTAGGTGAATTTTATAGTAGACGGGGGTCACTTTGTATTAAGATTATGGAAACTTAACATGACATAAGTGATTTATTGGAACAGTCATATGAAAAGTTACAGAAATTATTGATTCTTAAAGTTAGCGCAATAAAACGATGGAATTATTTCATATTTAATACACTAATGTCATGAGTATAATTTTCTTTTCTTTATAGATAACAATAGAAATTAGAATAAACTGTGTACTTACCAAATTTGGAATGGAAAGAACGAGAGATAATTTTTTTTAAGCTATCATTATTGAAACAAACACTTCCCAAACTGAAAATGAGAAGTAAACGTTTAGTATCCTTAATCTTTTGAAAACAAATCTGGCTTTTGATGTATGTCTTGTCACAATTGTCTGTATAAATTCAAACTGTTACAATTACAGAATGTTCAGGAATCCAAACTTGTAACGTTGTACTGTGTATTAGATTCTCCCAATAACCTTCCAAGCAGATGCGCTGAAATGTAGCAACTGACAGATAGTGTTAAAATATAAGCTGTACTTTAAAATAAATGTATGTTTAGAACAATTTGAAAGGTTAGATTGAACTCCAACGCTTTCAGTTATTGTTTAATTTTACAAATTTTGCGTAAAGCTACACAAGGACTACCTATGTATATTCGTCCTTAATTTGGAACTGACAGACTAGAAAGAAGGCAGGTAGTTAACAACACCCGGCGATAACTCTTGGACTACTCTGATCAATAGTTCAATATTAGGGACGGCCTCAAATAATCTGAATAGATTTGCCAAAAATAAAAAAAAATGTTGGAATGAGTATATAGTGTTTAAGATAAGTTATTCCAAATTTGTTTCTTTACGTATATACATAGACTTATATGGCCCGGCATGGCCAGGTGGTTACGGCACTCGACTCGTAATCTGAGGGTCGCGGGTTCGAATCCCCGTCACACCAAACATGCTCGCCCTTTCAGCCGTGGGGGCGTTATAATGTGACGGTCAGCCCCACTATTCGTTGGTAAAAGAGTAGCCAAAGAGGTGGCGGTGGGTGGTGATGACTAGTTGCCTTCCCTCTAGTCTTACACTGCTAAATTAGGGACGGCTAGCGCAGATAGCCCTCGTGTAGCTTTGCACGAAATTCAAAAACAAAGAAAAAGATAGACTTGTATATATATCACTGTCCTTTGTGACTATAGAGGGCTTATGTAACAGAAGCGGGCTTTTGGTTTAATCATGTACCACAAGTGTGAAAGTTGTTAGTTGGCAGTGTATCATGTTTGATGAACTTAATGAGAAACAGCACCAATACTGAAACCACAAAATCTTATATTTATTGCACGTTCTAGAATCGTTCATTAAATAGATATAAAGCATACAAAAAGTAACATGTGATCCACTAACGTGGATTAAAATACGAGTTATAAATAACTCGTGATAGTGTAAAAGTGTTTGAAAGTAAAAAGCAAATGAATAATGAAATATACAGTAATTATTTTATCCAACATTTTTCTTTTGTACAGTCCGTGGATAACTGGCAGATATCTGGTAAATCTTAACTCTAAAATTAATAATAATAATTAATAAGTAATATTATCTACATCCACGTGACCCTAATATTATTTTGAACAATATGGAACAAGATCTACATCCACGTTACTCTAACATTATTTTGAACAATATGGAACAAGATCTACATCCACGTGACTCTAACATTATTTTGAACAATATGGAACAAGATCTACATCCACGTGACTCTAACATTATTTTGAACAATATGGAACAAGATCTACATCCACGTGACTCTAACATTATTTTGAACAATATGGAACAAGATCTACATCCACGTGACTCTAA